AGAATGGCCAACAAATGTGTACATATATCCCAGTAAAACAATTCACAAAGATTTAAATTAAAACCAGGTTTTTGACCTAACTGTATACCAAAAGTTAAATTAAAAAAAGGCCAGCCTTCATACAAACATTGCTCTGTTTATATTTATTACTCATGCATAGTGTCCTACTGTTTTCTGCCCTTTTTGTGCAAATATAAATTCTGCATCAGAGTTGTCAGTTTGTGTCTTCAAGTGTAGTTTTTTCATTAGTGTTGTGAGGAGACACACCAGAATGGTCCTGCTGTTTTCACTGTTTCATGACGTTGAGTGATATATATATAAAGGTTCTTGTACGTCATTTTTAATTTTTGATATAAAGTACTTACGTGGGTCAGATTAACACATCGTTTTAAAACCGTTTCAAAACATCTACGGCTTTGTTTTAGAGTTTGACTTGTGAGTTACAGTAAATTGAGTCTTGGGAAGAATAGAAAATAGTGATTTCTGCTTTAAGTTTGAACATCAAACTGTCGTCTGTGTCATAGTTAGAAAATAATTACTTCTCAGTTTGAAGCTCATCTTAAGACGACATTGTATTTGCTAAATGTCACTTGCAATTAAACTTGATAATGTTACACAGAAAAGGTCACATACCAACCTGCGCGGTGGCGGTGGGCTCTCGGGCTGAATCACATGCCCTGTTTGACGACGAGCACTCAGTCACACTCCTAACTGGCTGACATGTTTTCCTGGTCATTGTGCTTTCAATTACACACATTACACTGATTGGATTTACATTTGGGTTTTTATGGTTGCTCTAATTGGCAAAGAAGATTGCAAATTATGCAAGAGGGCAAGCGTAGCCTTGACTACCGTCAGTCACCTTGAAATGGACAGACAAATCACATGCTTGAGTTCTGTGTAGCCATTAATCTGCTAATTTCATGATGGGGTGAACAAGTGACCACGTTTAATGGGGTACCTATTTTCTTCAGCAGCACCCTTTTTGACATAGCATTTTGTGACCTCTGGCTTGGAGAAAAGAATCATTTGTGGTTAATTAGCCTCGTGGGGTTTGTGTCAGTCATATCTTTCTTGTCTAATTGTCCTGCTTTGTTTCCTGACCTCGCAGGCCTCAGTACTACAAGGTGATAGAAGAATGTGTGGCTCAGGTGGTTCTGCACCGCAGTGGGACGGACCCTGACTTTGGCTACAGCAAACGATTGGATGTGGACTTCACACATCTTATTGGTAACTTCAGAATTCATTTAAACAGGTTGTTTTTAATTATTATTATTATTATTATTTTTTATGGGTCATAAAGCCACCTTTATTTGCAAAGCTGGTTTTGGTGAATTTAATAAAACAGTGAAGATTGTTACATGTTAAAATTGCCTCATGTCACCAATATTTTCTTTAATTGTGCTTCAGGAGATATTCCTCTGAAACACCTTTATAAAGAAAGAAAAGCATAAAAGGATCCCGTGAGATTTCCCTGTCTATGTCATCCCCTGTGTCTCATTCATTTAATGAACAAACATTTTTGACCTTTTTATTCAATTATTTTTGTTTTTGTGGAATCATACAGAAACAGTTTATTTGAACTGCATTTCTAACGGGGATAATATTTTCCACACGGGCAAGAAATAAACATCGTTTTGTGTCTCTACTGCTTTTCACCTTAGCAGCAAAGGGTCATTAAAAATTTCAAAACATATTTCTAGAAAACACGCTCTGTAATAAAATTTATATTTTTATTCATGTTTATTACAAAAATGCAACACAGCACTTAGGTGTTTGAAACATTTGGTTCTTTAATGTTTGTCCTATTCGACTTTTTAGTTTCCGCATTCATATTGTCACGTTTAAATTGTTTTTGAAGAGAATAAAATATGGTGCACATTGTGTAATCATACAACGAATAAAGGACAAACAAGTGAACAGGGCACAAGCGTCATCCTCGCTGCATTTGAGCAAAACTGTGAACAATATTATGATGTATTTAATTTTAACACACTGGCCAAATATCTCTTTTTCAACCTGACGGTGTCTTAGTTATTTCCTTCATTTCAAACAATTTAAACACAAATAAAAATAAATAAATATTAAACACATATTAAACAACTGATAAATAAATAAACATTTTGTTTGTTTTGTGACTGTGGCAGTTTTGCCACAGTCTTTAAATTGCTGCTAGAGAAGAACTGTGGAAAATCAAAGATCTATTTGATAACATTTATAAGTTCACATCAACTACAACAATGTTTTCAGAGATATCCCAAACATGCAAACAAACAAGCACCTAAATAAATAAAGAAATAAATCCATCCATCCATCCATCCATCCATTCATCCATCCATCCATCCATCCATCCATCCATCCATCCATCCATCCATCCATCCATCCATCCATCCATTATCTTTACCTGCTTCTTCCTTTTAGGGTTGTGGGGGTCACTGGTGCCCATGTCCAGCAGTCACTGTGCGAGAGGCGGGGGACACCCTGGACAGGTCTCCAGTCCATCACAGGGACACATAGAGACAAACGAGACAAACAACAGTGCATGTTGCACAATGAGAATATCACAAAACGAGAATTCCCAGAGACCAAGATAAGGAAGCAAGCAAGACATTAACATTCATGGTCTCAAAAATAAAATAAATAATAATAAAAAAAAAAACTGTAAGGAAGAAAATATTTGGGGTTTTAGACGTACGTTTGATTTTCCTTTTCCAAAACTCAGCCATGATTAAGCAACAACAACAAAAATAAAATAATAATTAATAATAAAAAAAAAAAAAAAATCCTTCAGATTTTCATTTTATTAGACAATGATTTGTAAATAAAGGGATTTTTAGAAAAGCTTAGTATTTTCTGGCTGTTTAATGATCCATCAGTCACGAGTATAAAGGACTTATCGAGTTTTTGTGTAATTTACCGAACATGTCCAGAGAACGTTTCAGTTTTTTTTTCAATAGTCTCCTTTATGCCATTTTCATTCCAGTTTAATAATAGATATTTTAAGTTAACTGCTAGCCACAATGAAGGGTAACTGCTGGAGAAAATGTCTCAGGTGTAGATTTATGCATTTAATTGTAAGTAGTCTGAATAACTCACAATATTTAGGTTTAAAATGACTCCTTTAGGATACAATTAAGTGCCTTTACTCTATAAAGATACTTTGGGGAGTAATGGATGCTGTTTGTGATGAAAAACAATGAAACAAGACATTATTTAATTTTTAGGTTTATTTAAAAACCTCTCTGCCCAAAGAATTTGTCCAAAATGACATTTAATTCATACACAGTCGCATACATTTTGAAAATATGATCCAGGTCTAATACTAAATTTCTCAAGATATCTTAGAAGTCAAAGTATTTTAAGTGTTTTGTGTCTTAACTTTCAGATCAGTGTGTGGATAAAGCCAAAGTAGAAGAAAGTGAGCAGAAGGCTGTGGAATACTCCAAAAAGGTACGACATTAATCACCCCCGTAGATTTTCTTTGGTTTAAGCCAACTCCCATCAACAAAGTTTTTTCTTCTCCAGAGCTTTCAGACAAGCTATTGATTTTGCATGCCCTGATCAATACCTGGCTGTGACGCTACATGATCCGTATCAGCATTACAAGAATCGATGGGGATGTTCTGATGTATACTTATTTGGGCCGAGGAGAGTTAAGCTATGTGTAGAACCTTTTGATGCTATTCTGCATCCAAAGATGGCCCTCTCTGTTTGTTTTAATTTGAGCTATTGTTTTTTTTTTTCAGTTACTTCCCTGCATTAAAAGCATAACATTGAAACCATTTCTTTATCATAACATTAAGAGTGAAATATATTGAGCCTGGGTATACACCTTTTTCAACAGCAGGGGTCCTGGAATATTTTTTTCTTAAGAGTCAAGTCTCACCATTTCACAATGCATCCTGCTGGGCCAATGAAATCATTGTTGTGACATGGCTTGTTTTCTGCAAAGGTTAGATCCATCAACATACAAGGAAACTTTTAACAAAGACAAAGGACAATGGGGCTTTAGGGCCACAAAGGCTATGAATAGAAATGGTCCTGAGTGTGTAAGATGGTGTGTTTTGCATTCTGTTGATGTGCCTTCTGACTGCTCCGAAGACAACCTGCTGCTCACCTACATGTGCCTGTTTGCGTTTACATCCGTGTACGTATTTGTTATCTGCACGCAGACATGGCTGTCTTCTTTCTTGCAGTTTGATGAGGAGTTCAGTGCTCGGCAGGAGGCCCAAGCAGAATCTCAAAAGAAAGAAGAAAAAATCAAGGAATTGGAGGAGAAGATTCAAGCCCTGGAGTCCCAGGTAAATCCACAAAGCTAAATCCCACCACTCTACAAAACTGTTAAAAGGTCTTTAAAATATGCATTGCTCAAAAAAGCAGAAAAAAAAGTCAGTTATGTCATTTCTCCCCCTCAACAATCTCACAAATGAAAATGCACCTTTTTTTTTTTCTCTTCCAAAAATCATAGTGTTGAGAAGTAATGGCACCTTGAGAAAAGGTCTGATTTGGTCAGAAGGATATCTTTTCACACCACTTACAGATGTGAAGGTGCTGTAAGTGGGAGTTATCGTCCATGCAAGAGCATTTGATTTAATAAAGGGTCAATCTCCTTCCTAAGTTGTAGCTCTTTGTAAGAGAGAATTGCCCTATTGAAGCTTTTCCTATGAAATTCTATCATCGCTGAGATGGATTGCGTTTCTTTTCCTGGCTTCCACATCATTTCTTCCCATGCAAAACCCTCCATTTTGTGCACTGAAAATGTCTGCTATTTCCCCTTTAACCCAATTTTAAACACTTTAGTGCTACCTTGGGATAAAAAGGGCAGTTTGCATTTCTGGTTTAGGAATTTAATATAATATAGCATTGAGAGATTGTATAGCTACATTTGTGTCAGAGGTGCATTTTTTTAAATGTCAAAATTCATTCAGTGTTGCTTGTGTTTGCACTTAAAGTCTAAATAACTTTACCTGCAATATGTGGTTGAAGCAGATATTTCACAGCTCTAACGGAGCGTACTTGAGGTTCTTAGGTGTGTCTTACTGTTCGCTCTCTAAAAATACTGTCAGTTTTTACCATTTGGGTACTTCTAGCCAAAGTCATGCATGAACATTTTTTTATTTTTTCCAACTCATCCTTTATCACATTTAATTCTTTTACTATTTGAAGCTCAAGCCTTCTCTGCTGTTTGTCTAATTTTTCTTCTCAGTTGTTTTTTTTTTTTTTTTGTATTGATTAGTGACACTTGTTTGGTCTTTTCAAGTGTTTTCAGTTATTTTTCAAACTTTCATACCTTTTTCTCAGCATCTTCTTGTAGGCGAGTATTGTTGACAGTTGTTGCACATTACCAGCTAGTGTAGAGAGAGAACAATGCTTGGGTGATTCCAACATTTTTCTATTTGTGTCAATTTTTTGTTTTTAAAGAAGCACAAAATGCAAGCACTGAATGTCTCCAATGCATCATCCAGAACTTAAATACAGGACACATACAAGTTTTATTAAATATTTTTAATGGTAATCTAGTGCAGGGGTCTGCAACCTTTACGATCAAAAGAGCCATTTCTGCTCCTTTGTTCACTACATTAAACGTGTCCAGAGCCGCAATATCTGCTACAACTGTGATTCTCAACTGGTGGCCTGCAGACCACTTTAAGTTTGATGGAGGACGCTTTTCTGGTCAGTAGGAATGATGCTATAAAACTAAAAATAGCTAATGATTTTGAACATTTCAGAGTCAGAGTTTCTTTATTGTCATTCGCACCTCATGTGGTACATGTGGTGGAGCGAAATTATGTACACAGGGTCCCAGTTACATCCAACAATAAAATGTCTAAGAAAAACAGTAATAACATCTAAGATATGAACTAAGAAAAACATCAACTAAATATACACTAAGCACTCATAACATAAACATAAATTTTTAATATATTAATAATATATTATAAATAAAAATATTTATTGATATTTTTACATTTTAAGACAAAATAAAAGACGAGATTCTAGTAAAGAAGGAACAAATTAGGGATGCACAGTATTGAATTTTTGGTTGATATTCGATATGCCAGTATGTTCTAGAATTGCGCCGCTCAAGGTGGCTGCATGTTGGAGCAGCTCTGTTACTTTCATTCTGAGATTTTGCTTTAGGAAACTTTAATTCCTCTTTTTCTAGATGTAAATCACATTTTTTGGATGGTGGTTTCCTCTGGTATCAGATGCTGTGCAGCTGGAAGGATTTTTACTGAAACTTTTTAGTTTTGGACATTTGTTATGATGCGTAACCATGGCAACAAGACAGTTTTCTACAACCAACAGCAGCTGATTAACATCTCAAAAGCTCAAATAATATCTCAACTACAGCCCCAAATCTCAAATGAGTTGAAAAGGATGTTCTGTGGATGCATTCTCATCTACCTGCCAGCTGTGCTCGAGTGCCTGACCACTGAGATCCTGGAACTAGCAGGAAACACAGCTCAGGACAGCAGAAGGACAGGATCGTCCCTCGGCACCTACAGTTGGCTGTCCACAGCAACGAGGAGCACGTCAGACTGCTGGGAGGAGTGGTCATCGCTCTCAGAGGAGTTCTGCCCGGCATTCAGGTGGTCCTGCAGCCCGGGAGAACCGAGAGGCCAGCCTAGTCTGGGTGGACGGATCGGATGGCATCTGCAGCCAGTTTCTTAGGATCCACTGTGGGATGGACCTTTACACGAGATCCTTCCTGTCTACAGCCATCAGCATCTATAACATCGCTTAATGAAATAAGGATAACGAGTTACAACAACAAATAATTTCCCTTTGGGATTAATAAAGTATTTTTGAATTGAATTGAATTGAATGTTAAAACCTATTTGGCTGATAATCGATACCAATCCCAATTTTTTGTTTTTTTGTTTTTTAGATCTACCTACAGAGACTACATAGCTTTCTCCTGATGCATGCTCAATAATCCAGGTAGAAAAATCTGAAAAAGTTACATCTGGTCCTCTGGACATTCCAAAAAAAAAAACAAAAATAAAAAAAAAAAACAACAGCTTTCTCTGCTGTGAAATTAAAATACTACATTATTCTGCATGATCTTTGTCAGGTTGACCTGTTACTAAATGCAGATGCCAAAAAGGGGACTGAACATTATGTAACACTTCAGTTTGGATTATATTTAATGTCAAATTTTTTCATGACATTTAATCTCTCTAAAACATTGACAACATTTGAACAGTGTAAATTTGTAAATTTTCTCATATACTCATTCTGTCCACAAGTGACAAGTGAAAAAGCACATAAGTAGTAGTGCATTAATATAGTTGACAGTTTCTTTAATTAAAAATTAACTTAAAACAGAAGCCCAGTACGTGGTTATACGATCTTAATGATCAAATCAAATCTCCTATCAAAAGTGCAAAAAAAATATTGTCAGGTTCTTTCCTTTGTCAGAGCATAGCCCTCTTATTTAAACTTGTTTGCTACAAAAGTTGTGTAACAGAGCATGGGAAGTTCAAACAGGCAAAAAAGGCCAAATAACATGCACTACATTTTAGCATATATATATATATATATATAGTCACTGTGCCTTGCTTAAAAGATTTAATCAATTTGTGAACTATTTATTTTAATACATTTCTATATTCGGATTCAGTTCTAGTAACACATTGATTCAAGGCATGCTGTTACAACGACGGTTCAGTTCCAACCTACTCTCAGGCAGCTATTCTGCTGCTTCAGGATCACTGGGCTCCAAATGACAGTGTTAGAGAAGTCGTTACCCGTCAAAGTGCAGAACCTTCAAATTAATGTGAGGACATGAATTCAGTTTGTCCATCAAAGCAGCTGTGCGGTTGCTGCCGTTTTGCTGAATATGAATCAAGTTGCAGCTAACCCCAACCTTTCATCCCTGTAACTGAATTCCTGTCAGATATTAAAACACATGCATGTCTGAGTTGCTTCTCTTCACCTTGTTTGTGAACCCAACATGTTTAATGAGAGTCTTTCTCCAGAACTTTGGCATTTTAACAAGCAGCATGTTTGATGTGTCTGTTTGATTATCTCCCAGTTGAGCAGAGTGGAGGTTCTGCTTGTAAACACCAACAAAGGACACTGAAATCACAAAGAAATAGAACTCATTCACTATTCCCTAAACTTTTGCTTGCAACCATTCAAGGCAGAGGGGAAAACTATTCACTGAATCGGCTCTGGATGTGATGAATAATGTAGCACTGCAGAGGTTCCCTGGAACACTCTGCACCATCCCATTAATAGGTTTTAACAACCTGGCCAGCTTGTAGCTGACCCAGCATGGCCCCCAGAGGAGCTGGAGGTGTAGTAGACCTCTCTTCCTGTTTTTAACCAGACTTCCATCTACCTTGACTGAGTATAGAATTTGACTAAACTGACAAAGGCAGCAGAACTCACAATAAAGTAACCACTTATGGATTTTTTGTTGTGAAATGGGTCCATCTTAGAGCTGAATTACTATTTAAATACATAAAATGCAGTATGTGTCCTTACAGGACATAGACACTGTTGCTTCAGTTAATTATCAATACAGGACATAAAATAGGGCAAACAATAATTGCAGAAAATATTTTTGGCTTGTTTTGTTTATTATCTGAAAGTCGATATTTTTTAATCTCAGAGTAATGTATATAGAATACATTCTGTAAGCTTTATACTAGGGATGCACAATATTATCAGCATGGTATTGGTATCGGCTGATATTTACTTTAAAGGTAAATATTGGACATCGGCCATTACATAAAAAAAAATCACCGATATCAAATACGCTATTTTTATATGACAACCCAGTGACAAGGATGCCTGCAGTGCCAGCACAACGTGATTACGTCACATGCGCCTACATGATCTGATCACGGCAGAGATAGAGAAGTCAAAATGTCGGTAGCGTGGAAGTTTGTTTTTTCATTGAGGATATCAGATTCCGAAGGTTTTTGGAATACGTTGATCCTCTCTACATCGTCTCCATTCGGAGATATTTTTCTGACGTAGCCTTACCCGAGTTACAAGCCATCATTTCCGACCTAATTGGGAATCTAATAGCCAATAGCACTTGGATGAGTTTTACCACAGACATTTGGACGTCGTGTTAGCCCTGTTAGCTTGATTAGTCTTACGGCACAATGGATAGACAAAAACTTTGAACTTAAAAAGTCTGTTCTTCATGCACAAGAGTGCAGAGGATCCCACACTGCAGCTAGGAACCTGGAACAAGCCTCCACAAGTGAGACAGCATCGCAGGTGACTGATGCTAATAAATAACATTTAACACTTTTCATTTAATATAAGTTAAAGTGCTATGCATATCATATGGCTGTTACTGAATATATGTCACCAGCTCTTACAGCTGTTGCACATTTTTTGTAGCAAATTAGCCTAAATATGAGCGCTATGTTCTGACAAAGAAAAGTATATAAAAGTATATAAAATATCGGTATCATTTATCGGCCAAATAAGTTTTAACATTTAACATCCATTTAACATGGATTTCGGCCAAATATTCATTATTGTGCTTCCCTACTTTATACATTGCACGGTAACTCTATTTTCAAAGCTTTTTGTAAAATAAAAAGTTATTACCTCACACTCAAAAGTTTCCATCTCTTTTCCATTTTGCACATTAAATATTTAGGCTTCTACAGTCTATACTAGTAAGAGGTTTTCTGTGGGATTGACTCCATGAAAAATATCACATTTTATTTGCTGCAGAATTCATTCCTGTTTTCTTACTTTGGCAAGGTTGCACAGACTGAAATATCAAAGCAACAATGGGTACACTTTTAAAACAAAGACTGTGCAGTGAAATCAATGCCCATCACACATCTGAAAGTGCAAAGTTGATAAGTGTTTTTGTGATGCCAGAAGAAGAGAAGAAAACACGGAAATGGAAGAAGGTTTTTTTTAAGGTGCACCAGCTGTCAGTGATGCTGTGCTGTCTACCTTTTATGCAGTCACTGCGCTACACTGATGCTCTTTTGAAGATAGATTACATCTTGTTTTAGGTGTAAAAGTACATCACACTCTGCCTCTTGCACATGAAATAGCTCATTCTGACATAATAGGAATATATTTCTGTACTACCATCGTCATTAACTGTGTACGAGACCTGCTCTTTCCTTTCCTCGCATCTTTTCTGTCTTTATTGTGTTTGCTGTGAGTTCTGTACCTGTTGAAGTTTACTAGTGTTCCTATTCTGCATCTTTCTAACCCACCTTCGTTTGTGCTTCTTTGTTACATCTGTGTTGTGCCTGCCTGTTCCCACGGTGTGTATCTGTGGTGCGTGTTGTGTCTGCACAGTTAGATTTTGAAAAAGACAAGCTCAAAGAAGCTCACAGACTCATCAGGGAATTTGAAGCCAAGGTGGGTCTCCTTCTTGCATGTGTGGCCCTTGACATGAACCAATTCAATCACAATCAAATCCAAGTATATAAATAAAGAAGTGAATGATTTGTGCGTTTCATACAGTCCAATAATTAGACGGAAATGTTGCTTTTGCATGATTGCACTTCATCTTGAAATTTACATCAAATTAAAACAATTTAAATTAAAATTGAAAACACACACTAATATATATATATATATATATATATATATATATATATATATATATATATATATATATATATATACCGTATTTTCCATGGTTCACGTCACACCGCCCTATAAGTTGCATCAGTCGAAATATGTCTAAAACAGTGGAAAAATCCATAAATATGTCGCTTCGCCGTATACGTCACGGCTATTATACATCAACGCTGACGCGTTTGTCACGCATCATCGCTGACAATCCGGAAATGTGGGCCGAACCCGGAAATGTTGGCCGGTGTTGTGCCAAAAAATCGATTGGCCGCCAAATTGTGGCCGCGGGTGCGTGCACGGGAGGACTTTAACAAGAATCAAACATGATTAACATTTAAAATCAATTATTTGTTTGCTCAAAATTATAGTAAATGTGTGTCTCAATCTAAAGTTTGCTTAATAAATGCACTTTGACAGTCAAATCAGCTGTATTTCAAAACCTGATTTGCGGAAGCCATGAGCATGCGCAGAGGGCCATGCCTCCGCATTTCTTCGAAATGTAACAATATAAACACCTAAAAACAATTATTTGTTTGCTCAAAATTATAGGAAAGTTGTGTCTCAGTTAAACTTTTACTTAATAAATGCACTTTAATGGTCAAATTAGCTGCATTTCTCCGGACGGTGCAACTGGTTTGACTTGCTCCAAGCAGCGAGCATAATAAAGGTGGGGGGACTTTGGCAAGCCAATTGTGTCATTAATAGCTGGTGAAGATTCTCAGTCATCCAGGACATGGTAAATAAATAAAAAAAAAGTTCAAGATAAAAACAATAAAGTATAAAGTAAAGTATAATTAAAAAAAAAAAAAAAGTCCAATTGTTTTTGCCTTGAACTTTTTTGAATTTGTCATTATAGTCACTTTTACCTATTAAATGATACAACGGCATGCCTTCCTGCTAATACTACTCTGCTTCCATCTAGTGGCTGAAAATCGTTCTGTTCTTTTTTTTCCCCCCAGTCAGAATGAATGAAAACGTTCATTTCTCAGCCAAAAAATGGTTTATAAATATGGGAAAATCCATAAATACATCGCTTCGGCCTATAAGTTGCAGGGCGTGCAAATTATGCAAAAAAATTCCAACTTATACAGCAAAAAAAATATGGTACATACATGTCATTGAAAAGTAGTTTCTGAAGCAAGAAATTATTTTGACCTCACACTGAAATTACATACTTGTTTATATGCAATTTTCATAAACAAACACTTGTGATTAAATTTTCTGTCAGAGATGAGGTTCGGGTAAACATTTAATCCCATCACATTCAGATTTAATTAGCAGCCCAGATGACCTCCTCTTTGAGTCCAGAAAAGTTTATATCCAAATTGGATACGTTAGAATTGAAATTAGATCAATTTTCTTCTTTCACGGAGCTGTAGATGGACTCTGGTAAATTAAAGTTTCTTTAAAAATATCTGAGAAGCCTCTAAAATGGCTGAACAACATGGACTTGTATGACAGACATTTTTTTTTAAATCCTAGAAATATTTATCTAAGAATAGTAAATGGGCTTTTCTGTCTAATATCCTGCACACAATGTGTGTATTTTCTTCAGTGACTTCACTTCCATTTGCTACTTCAGATACACACCTAAACACTGAGTGCAAATAAAAAAATGGCCTACCTGTTCTGTAATGCAAAACGCAACAATTTAATTCATTCTTAAACAATAAAAATAAAATAAAAATAAAAATAACCCCTTTTTTTAAATTACCTTTGATGTAGAAACAATGATTTGTTCTTTCATCTGTTGGTATTGAAGCCAATGTAAATTCCAGTAAAAATGGGGCTTATAATTTATTAGATCAGATAGATGTGGATAAAGAGAAAAAGGCTCCTGAGTGAGAAAACAACTATGCTCTCATTCAACAGCTAATATGCATTTATTCTCTCACATTAGTTTGAAAAAGATTGACAGTCATGTAATCACTGCATGCAGATTTTCTGTGAGGGGTTCTGAGCAATCTGTGTGAGGCGCTCCTTGCAGAACACCTTTTTAATTTTTGCCCTAATAGGAAATCTGTCGATGCCATTATGTAATGAAACACTATGTAATGTCTTTAAATATGAAGCCAATTACATTTTCCGCACACAATCAAGTGACTAGGGAAAATATACATAGAGGGGAATTGGTTTTGGAAATGAGAAGTGGAAATCCTTTTGGTAAGAGCCGACATCTAATCTAAACCCTATTCAAGCAGAGGTGTTGTAATTGTGGAATTTGCATATTTTTCCCCCTATAAACATTATTCTATTGGCCTCATCGTTGACTCTCACCGTGTTTCTGTGCATGCAGAATGTTTGATAGCGCTGGCATGATTTAGGTGAAAATTAAGTCTCTGTTTACTGTTTAATTGCTCACCACTGTGAGCGCGCATAATGATCAAGTGATGTGAAAGCAACAATCTCATCAGTTGTAAATTAAAACTGTTGCCGTACTGACTTAATTCTTTTAACCGTTTCTGCAATCTTTATCAGTTTTTAAATATGTGTTTGTTTAATACTATGTATTGTATTACTATATATGTAATGTATTACTATGTAATACTATGTAATGTATAATATTATGGAGGGTAATGAATATGTTTGACCAACTTTTGGCTAATATGCAGCATTTTATGCACTTTAAAACAATGGAATATCAGATAAACTGCTTTTAACATTACTCAAATTTTTGCCTTCAGTGTGCAAGTTTGAAAAAATAAAAAAAGGCAGATTTTTGAGAAAAAAATAAATGACCCGTTGAAACATTTTCTGTGATTCAGCGTAACTATGTTATATTGTGCAGAACACAGCTTTTAAACCTCACTTACATAAATTCAATATCTATTTGCAATGATTAAACAAACAAAAAAAAAACCTCTAAACCTTTCCATCAGCTGTTCAAATGTATTTCCTTTTTTATTGTGATCATAACACTTTGCTACAAATCCCTTAAACTGAATATAAATTATTCCTGCTCTTCTTTAAAAATGAGTTCAGGAAGTAATTGTCCATGTTATCTACTCCTCCCCATTTGTATTCGTGTGTGTCCATTTCTTTGATGCTGAAGTTCAGTCCTGAAATGTGTCAACGCATTTTGAAAGAGCTGAAGAGGTTTTTAATTGCACATTTTATTTCATGTTTTTTTTTTTCTGTGGAGTTACAGTTTTGTTAGATTATAGGATTCAGATTAGCATCAACTCAAGATAACTCCTCTCATGAGATAAGCTGCCTCTGACATTTTCGTTGTTTATTACAGAGGTCTGCAGGCTCAGCTGCAACTGGAGCACCACCTCCCCCAGGGGGTCAGGTACCTCCACCTCCACCACCGCCTCCTCCCCCACCTGGTGGCTGCCCCCCACCTCCTCCACCTCCTCCTGTCCCTGGCCATGCTGGTTTACCACCACCACCTCCACCTCCTCCACCTCCAGGTGGAGGACCTCCACCACCCCCACCGCCCCCAGGTTGTGGGCCACCACCTCCTCCACCACCCTTTGGAGGCCCTGGTGGACCTCCGCCACCTCCTGCATTGCCAGTTGTCAAGCTGCCTTATGGGCTGGAGCCAAAGAAGATGTACAAGCCTGAAACTGTTATGAAGAGGGTCAACTGGACCAAGGTACGGTAATCTGTGTGTCATAGTTTCATGTTCACTACCTGTTAGAGGTTTTAGACCCATAAAAAAAGTGTTTATGTTTTTTGTCCATAAACTATTATCCAGTCTCTGCACTTTCACACAAGCATTTACTCTACACTTGTTTCAGAAGATTATGTATCTTGCAAGTCTCCGCAATAAAATGCAAAGTTGAAAGTTCAAACCAGGAGAAGATTTATTCAAATGCACTCTTAATCTACTCAAACAGCCGTTCAGCCACATGCCACACTATTCTGCTCTCAGCACTCATTTCAAAGGATTCAACAGTAAACAATTTTCACTGCTCAAATGTCATTGGATTTGCACATTCTTAGCATAATTGAAGTAAGAATGGGTTGTGCAATGTTCCATCACATTTGAATACAATTTCAATGGTATATTCTTTTCCATCTGGGGTATATTTTACCACAGATGATTTATAAACCGCCTCAGGAATTTTTAGCATTAGTGTAATGTCTTTTTACATAGTTGTGCGACTTTGGGCTTTAGTCTTTAATTACTACATGCAAACAACATTTGAGATTCGCTTTTTGGCATTATTCCAGCAGTTTATGTAGCTTTGTTCAGTGACTTCATAATCAGATTTTATAATCCATCCATCCATCCATCCATCTGTCTGTCCGTCTGTCCATCCATCCATTATTTTTACCCGCTTCTTTCTTTTCGGGTCACGGGGGTCACTGGTGCCCATATCCAGCTATCACTGTGCGAGAGGCGGGGGACACCCTGGACATGTTGCAAGTCCATCACAGGGTCACATAAAGACAAACGAGACAAACAGCCATTCACACTCTCACTCACACCTAACATTTTTGGTCTGTGGGAGGAAACCGATGTACCTGGAAAAAACCCACACATACACAGAGAGAACATTCAAGCTCCACTCAGAAAGGTCCTGGGCCAGTATTTGAACTAGCGACCTTCTCGCTGAGAGGTAACAGCTCTACCAACTGAGACGCCATGCCGCCCATCTTATAGGGGGCCGAGATGGGGTAGAGGCAGGGCAGCCAACTCGAGACCCCAAGTCTCAGGTTCGATCCTCAGTCATTGCACATCTTGTGGTGCCTCTGAGCAGGACACCTTATCCCAAATTGCTCCCCTGGCACCTTCGATAGCTGCCCACTGCTCCACCCGAGTGTATCCCAGCAATTTTGCCATTTATAGGAAAATACAATGATGACAACACATAACACATTATTATTGTAATACAATTTATTTTAAATCAGGTGAGGTAAAAATGTACCTTCATTCAATAGAGATAACATTTCTAATGCTAATGCAAAACAGGTTTTTACTCTCACACTGGTACATTTTCATCTTTAAATCACTTCTTGGTTTGCTACGTTCATATATCTCCTCTTACATGTCACGTCAGCAGCACAACTACAGCGTGCACTCTCAAGACATAATTACCTGCAGTGTCCCATCAGTGCGGACCAATTTTGGCAAAAGGGCCTTCTCTTACTCTGCTCCTGAAACCTGGAACACCTTGCATAACGATCTGACATTGTCAACTTTTCCCTTTGTAAGGGTTTTAAACACCTGTTTAGTTCAATGCAAAAATCAATTCAGACATGCACCTGTTTATAGTACCATTTTTTACATTTTTTTTATCTTGTTTTATATCACTTATTTTATATACTTTTCATTTTAAATGCTTTCAAATTGTTGTGTGTACCTCATTTATGTTTTTTTGTTTAAAAGTGTCTCTCTTGTAAATGAGTCCTTTTGACTCGATGAGATTAACCTGTATAAATAAAGGATGACTGAATGAATTAATGAATGAATGAATAAAAGGTTTTAATGTTACAGACCTTTGACTTGTTTAGACCAACTGCTAGGTCAAAGGAAGCACATTGTGCTTTCAGACATCTAATGGAATCAGTAACTGGACGTAAACCTAGCATGTTCGAAATGTGAAGCCAACAAATGCACAACTGCTCTCAGAAAGTCTTCAAACTGCATGAGCAGAGACTGCAGTCAGCTTTCTTGAAACATTTATTGCCATGATGGTCAGAGTTTGCAGAGCTGTGATCAAAACCAAAGGTAGCTGCTTTGGGGAATCAAAGAGCAGTAAAATCGAACTGCATGTTGTCTTAAGAGAAGTTAATCTTGGAATGCAATTCATTGTTGCCTATTTGATGAATGTTCCAACATGGATTATCCTTGCTTCAAGAATTGAAAGTATCAACCTATACATACCTGTGTAGGTCATGAAGTCTTTATAAATGTATGTTGTTAAAAGTATACATAAACATCCAAAAAAGTTCAATCTGGTCCTCTGGACATTCAAAAAACAAAAGCAAAACAAAGCAAAAAAAATTCTAGAAACGTTTCG